TGGGGGGCGTGGGGGAGCTGTGTGGGGGTGAAGGTGAAGGTGGGGAGGCGTGTGGGGCTGGGCTGGGTTGGAAATGGGCTTGTGTTGGGGCAGGGTTGGGTGGGATATAGCGAACCTGTGTGGGGCAGAGTTGGGATGGAGGTGGGAAAGGCCTGATCGAGCCGTCAGCTGGAGTCCCAGGAGCTGGGGTCTCGTCCCTACACCCTGAGGGGGTGTTTTGGGCACCCCTGTACTCCCTGCTCTCCTGCTGGGACTCCTGCGCTGAGAACCAGCTGATACCCACATCACTGCTGTTCCCACTTGGCTGCTCAAAGAAACTGAGGCTGAACACACCCAAACCAAGTGGCTGACTTCGTGTTTCTGTGTATTTCTGGAAGCCGTAGCAAATTCTGCAGTTTCTAAGGTGCCGCTGCAGATCAACGAGATGGTTGTGAGAACTACCAGTAACTCAGGAAAGTCAAGCTCAAGGTGGTTGCCCTGTTGGATCAAAAAGTGCTGACATTAGGCTTTTAGTAATCAAAGCATTTAATCTTTTATGGTTTTTAGTGTTTAGCACACGCATGTTTTTGGTAAGTTTAGTGATAGTCCTGTATTTTTGGAATATTCGGGTGGTATAGGCAGATTTAGGGTTAGATCTCAGAAGGGAAACCTTTAGCTTGAGCAACACGATGTCTCCTTCTCACTGGCCACACGCACTCTTTCTTTGAATTTCTTAGGGCTTTGAAGGAGTGGGGCATTTTTGTGCATTTCATCTAAAATTTTTGCCTCTTTCTCCTCTACTTCCCTGGAGGGAAAATGGGCATTGCTTTTTGGGAAGGGATGAGAGGGGAGAAAGAGAAATGTTTTTTTTTTCCATAGTGTTAGAGAATAAAACATACTGTTATTGAGGTATGTTCTATTAAAAAACAAATTCTTCTCATTCGACTCTTGTTATTATTTTAACAAGTAATATTAATAATAAATTATTAAAGAAATTCTCATGTTTCTTGCAGTGTTATACTTCCCCTACCAGAGAATGTGAAAGAATATTTGCTGGATGATGGAACGCTTGTGGTTTCTGGAAGGTAAAGAGTGTTTTCCCCCCACCTTCCAAGTATTAATACTATTTTATATTCACAGCACTATTTTGTATACACATATTATATTTTGCATAACAAGTTTTTTAACTTTGACCAGTCTGGCTGCAGTAAACCTCATACTGTATGAGCATGTGAACGGGCTGTTAGTAAAACTTGACTTGCTGGTGCCTGATGCAGATCCTAAAATCACAGAATCGTAGAATGGTTTGGGTTGGAAGGGACCTTAAAGATCACCTTGTTCCAACCCCCCTGCCGTGGGCAGGGACACTTTTCACTAGATGAGGTTGCTCAAAGCCCCGTCCAGCCTGGCCTTGAACACTTCCAGAGAGGGGGCATCCACAACTTCTCTGGGCAACCTGTCCCAGTGCCTCACCACCAAATCCATGTAATACACTTCATTCTATGGAGTGGAGACAGTTCTTTCATTTTTTTCTCCGCCTTTCCTTGTGGAGTTTACCAGGCTTTCGGGTGCACAGCCTGCTGGTTTGTGCCTGGTTGGTTTGATACGGCTAGCTCCAGTTCAGAGGCTTGACCTGTCCCACGCCATTCACATGTCTGCTGCCTTATCCAGGGGTGAAGTGACATTACCTGAGTTTAATTCTCAATAAGATAAGCTATATATAAAATCTTAGTAGTTACTGAGTTTGTATAATCATTTGCATACCTATAATCCATGCATATGACAAGGCTGAATGTCCTGTATGTATACCTATGCCAAGATTTTGGATGGAGAAGAATGAGGTGGATAGATAAGAGAAACAGTTGGTAAGAACCCAGGCCTTGTTCTTTGTTTTCTGCTTAGAATCTCACTGTATGGCTTCCTTGTAAAATGATTATTGCATGCATACATCTTGTTAATGATTGGACTCGGGAATCACTCCAGACTCCCATCGTTTCCTAACTGGTAGTTTGCCTCTCGCAGAGCAACCAATTAGGCTGTGAGTATAAGGGAGCTATGTCTAATTTCTCAGGAGTCAATTTATATAAAATTGAAGCTGTTTAAACACCTTGTAAAGATGAAAGGTCTTTTTTAATTTTAAAATTCTGTTTTTTAATAAAAGGTATCCAGAAAATTAGAATTGTTTTAAACCATTTTGGATAAGAAGTAATATTGTCACCTGCTTCTGCAGAATTGTGCAACTTATTTAGCAGCAGCCATTTATTTTTTAATAAGCCTTCAGAAGAGCTGAAACTGAGGGTTTGACTTTACAGCTATGTTACACAATTTCTGCTGTCTTCAATAGAATAATGGACAGGAGTATAATTGACTTAAATTATATTTTTAAAGATGTTTCCAATTTAAAATCCCTTTTAGAAACCAATTCTTCTCCGAGTTGAACTTTCTTAGCTGGAAGTGAATGTGATCTTCTTGCAGTCAAGGCCAAGATTGCTTTTAATCTTGAGTGAACCAGTATCTGACCTCTAGATCTCAAAAACCTGAATTGATAGTTTAACCCCTATGGAAGTGTGTTAAGGGACTGCAGAGACTTAGCTTGTTGAAGAGTTGACTTTTGGCAGGGAGGTACATTTTAACTTACCCCGTTTGCTACGCTGACTTGCTGTGAATAAGTCTTCTTCAAGGGCTTGGTCTTCTCCTTTAAGATCTTCACACTCAATTATATTGGCTAAAGAACTTCAAAAGTCACCTAAAGCTTCAATGGAATGTTTGCAATCAAGTGCTTTCTCCCAGATACGCTAATGTTTACAACAGCAGATCTCACCTGTGTAGAAAAAGGAACTTTCCAGGAAGAAGCTAATGACTGTGTATCCACTTTCCGTAGGATCTTCTTTTCTGTGCGAGGCGTGTGAGGACATTTTCTTTTCAGATCCAGAAATTCACAGGTCAACATCAGAAACGCAAGGTTTTTAAATTTTTACTTGGAGTATGGAGGCAAAGCATAATTTAAATTGAACTTGTTTAAAAAAAAAAGTTCGTTTAATTTGTGCTTCTGTGAGTGTACGGTAAAGTTGGAAAAGAGTGATTAATAGGGTGTTGAAGAGCTTCAATTATGGCATTTTCAGAGCAGAAAGTGATCTGCTAATTTGAAAGAAGCAAAGTGTTTTGGATAGGGCCCAAGTCTAATGCCAGGGTGTTTGGTCTTCAGTCTTCTGTACTGGCTTGCTCTGATTTTTCTCTGCCAGGGGTTTTGAGGCTTAATCTTCTTACGAAACATTTTGAGATCAACAGCTGGTAGATGCCGTGGAAATGTAATGTATATGGTCCAGTCAAACTCCAGTGCTTAATTTTTTTTTCCCGCTAATTTTTTGTTTTAGAGAAGATCCACCAAGTCATGCTCAGGAGGGGAGTGACGATGCAGAGGAAATACAGGTCAGTATAAAATGCAACTTAATGTCAAATCTCTTGGGGAAAAATATGAATGTGTAACCTTTTCTGCATAATTCATAGGTGAGGAGAGTACTTCACAAAAATAATAATCACATGGTAGTTGCCTTGAAGAAACTTAACATCATTATTTATACTGTGATGTCAGGGAAGGTTTAAAATGTTTCTATGCTCTTTCACAGAAGACTTATTTTTTTGATAATTGCATTTGTAATAATAAGTAAGGAATGTTGAAGGATGTTGGAACTGAACTTAATGCTGTTTCATGCCCTGAAAAATTAGGAGGAGTTATTTCAAGAAACAATGAAAGTTTCTGAGGCCATAATAGTTCAGAAGGGTATTCTAGAAGAAAAATGCTGAAAAATGTTGTAAGCACAAGGTGACAGAAGGTACAAAAAGGAGGTGAAAAAGAAATATGAGTGAAACTAATGGATCATGGACCTAAGGGTGGAAGTGCTGGAGCTGGAGACAAGCTTTAGACAGAGAAGACTGTTGAGTTCTGAAATGTCCAAGTTTGTGATATAAATCATAACTAAAATATATAGGGGTCTTCTTTTAGCCATGCTTTAGAATAATACTTCTGCTGAATATACAATATTTTTCCTGTCTTAACTTACAGCCTTAATAATTGGAGGATGGTGATGTTATGCTACAGGAGCTCCAGGGCAATGATTTGATCTACATGTTGCAGGAAGCCATATCAATTCTGATGTTCTCATAAATTATAAAGGATGTCTCAGGAAACCAGTAACCTTTGATTTGTTCTTATTTTTAACAGTGGTCGGATGATGAGAATACTACAACACTTAAGGTAAGGTCCTGTAAAAGCCTAACGTGGGTTTGTCAGCAGTATACTTTCTGCAACCTTGTGATATAAACTTGTTGCCAGTTAGAGATACCTGTTGCTGTATTTAATGTTTTTCAGACCATTCTAGACAGATGGCAGTGTAGATGTCTGTAACTTTAAAAAAGTTTTGCTGGCTTAATTTTATTTAACTAAAAATGTTTTTCTTCATCCCCAACAATCACACACTTGCTAGACTATAGGAAATGAACTGAAGTATGGCTCTAAGTATAGCTGTCTTTCATTTTCACAACTTTGAATATCTCCCAATTACTTAATCAGACTGGATGCAGAAGAAACGAAGCCCATGCAGCTCAATTTTCACAGCTCTTCTCTTCCCTTACACCTGTGCCATTATTTCCTCCTGAGTACATGTCTTTCCATCATCTTTTTTTTTTTTTTTCCTTTTCTTGTCTTTATGTTCTCCTTGCACTGTGCCCGGCTTAGAATCAGGATCATGATGGGTACGAACCAGGCTTCCTTGGTGTTTGTTTACACATTTTTTGAAACTTGCTGTTGCCCTATCATTGTCAGAGTTAATATACTTGCGTCACTTGTCTGCCATTGATACTATAACTTCAGTCCTATTAGCTCTCTAATGTTCAACACAATGTTGAAATGCTCACATTGGATTAGGTGCAATATAAACACAGCCCTGCTTTGAGTTGTGCGTATGCTAGCACAGAATTTGTAGCCTAGATTTTAAAACTAATACATGCCAACTTTGCACACACTAATAGCTTCAGTTCAAATATCTAAGCTTTGATAAAGTAGATGCCTTAGGTTGTAAATTATTCAGAACAAGGATTTTGGTATCTATCTTATCTTTTGCGAAGCTCATGTTAATGTTGCTAACGAAATAATATCAGACTTTTGAATCAGGTTTCATTGTAGTGTACAACACAATAAGGAAATGCATAATCAAGAGGTATGATACCCATCAGAAGGGTATAGGCCAAGTGATTTCAGTTTAGTTAGGTAAGTATTGTGTGTTGCATACAGATTGCAGCTTTACAGCTAATGTTTTACTGGGGCTGGCTGGGATGGAGTTAACTTTCAGCTGTTGCTGAACAGTGCTTGCATAGCATCAAGGCTTTCTCTTTTCCCAGTCTGCCCCATGCCCCTCCCCATCAACTAGGCTAGGGGTAGGCAAGAGAAGGAGAGGGGACAGAGCCAGGACAGCTGACCCAAATTGTCTTAATCGTCTTAATCCGTACCGTATAACATCATGCGCAGCAATAAAAGCAGGGGTAGCGGAAGAAAAGGGGTGTTTCGGCCTCTAAGGTGGCTCTTGTTCAGAGACTGGCAGGGCTTTGTCTTTCACCAAACCTGGAACTTTGAAAATGGTTAATAATGAACATGGTTTGTGCCTGTGGCTAGTTCCTACAAAAATACACCTACATTTGGTCAAAGAAAGAGATTCTAAAAGTACAATTTCACAATGTGCTCTTTACCATCTTGTGAATTTGGTGATGATTGCTTTGAAGACTCCATCCATGGCAAATATGCTTTCTCTACCTGACAACTAGGGACTGCTCTGAGGCCACTGAGTGAATAGAAAATAGTCTTCTGTGCTTGTAAGTGTTGCCTGTTACCACTTTGACAGTGATGAAGAGAGTGAAGAAACAGCCCGTGTAGAATGCAGAAGGGTGGGGAGCTGCATCTGGAGTTACCGCAAGAGATGAGAATGGATCAAGTAGCGATGTGGAAGCTGAACAGGGAGTCACTAGGGAACATCATGTGTAAAGAATAGTTGGACAGGCTGGAGACTGCTGTTCTGGATTCGCTGTCAGCCTAGGGCATTCGCATTTTACTAATGATAAATCCCAGGTTATAATTCTCTGTTGGTTTCTTGGCTCAGGGAAGCAGTAAGGTGGGCTGTGGTTGTGATTATTCTGATTTGATGACTCACCTGAGTCATCAGGTAGAGCTTGTTTCCCTTGCCCCTTCTATATTCTGAAGAAGAATTAGAATATAGGATTATAGAAAATTCTGTGTTTAAAAAAATGTGCATTAATATTGATGGTTGCAAAGTCAGGCATTCAGAATTTAGGAAATGTTAGAATCCGGCTGGTTTATGCAGCCTTAGAGCTATCCTCTTGTGTATGTTTCTTCACCTGTATTCATCAAATGACATGACGGTAACACCTCTCCAGGGAGGCTTAGTATGTGCTGGTATTACATATATACTATGACCCCTGACTTCTGTCAAAACAAGAGGAGATTGGATCAGAATGCAGTGGATGAAGAGTTTTACTTCTTGCAGGAACAATTTCTAGAATTGACTGAAGCTCTAAAAATAAAGTAAAATGAGAGAAGTGCTTTTTCAGTTTTTCAAGTGTAGTTTCCCATGGAGACTAGGTAACGTACTAAGGAAAGATTCAGAATGTTTGAAGTTCAGTCTAGGTCACTGCGCTAAAATGTGAGAGGGTTTTTTTTAAGTGTTTGCATTTGGGTGGGCTGCAGAAAGGAGATGCCAAAATGCATGAACTTTTTTTCATCTCTTGTGTGGCTGTGAGGGCTTTGTTTTATAGACATCAATTAGCTTTAGCATAGAAGTTATCTTTGAGCTGAGTTTAAAAATACTCAGGCAGAAATAGTGTTCTTACATGCTTTTTGCTATAAATCCTAATACATGAAAAATCTTTGACATATGCCTGAAATCCTTTCATATTATTTTAAAGGTTAGCAATCTGTTTTTTTTTCTATTGCACCACATTCAGAGTGGAGTTTATAGCATCCTGAGGAGTTTTTTTCCTCCTATCTTATGTTTACAATATTGACAATGTTCTTTACAAGATGAGGTTTTTCTAGTCCAACCCATACCTTTGCAGTGTGTCCTCTATTTTGATGCAATATATTGTTAAGGAGCTACTTTAAGACCTAATTTAAGAGCTGATTAATTGAAGTATTACTAACAACATTTTGTAAAACTAAAGCTTAAATGAGGAGCTGTCACTCAAATTGCCTGTGAATTGATTTATTTACTTTTGCTCTCCTACTGTGCTCCTAAATGCAACTAGAGAACTATTACAAAACAGAAAAGATCTCTTTCTACCTTTTAATACTTTGACAAAATGCCACAATATTTGTATTTTAGATTTTTTAAAGAGTTGCTTAATTCCAAACAAACTATTTTTGAAAGTTTGTTTGTTTGTTTTTAAATCTTCTTGGATCTTATTTGTATACAATAATCTACCATCAGGTGTAAAACAACAGGTATGTATTTCAAGTCTGTTTATTTGACCTGTACATTTGCCAGCTGTTGCAGCTTTCCTGATGAACATTATGAAGTTTCAGGTTTTCCCGTGAAGTTCATGGGATCTTGCTAGTAATGAGAGTGAGAACTGGAAACATAATTTCAATTTTCTCTGATTGAAAGAATGTTGGAGTTGATTCTTAAGTGATTTATTTCTACAAATACATTATTTTTGTGCGGTTCTTGGTTCCTGATTTTGGACATGTTTATTCCTTCTACAATATGTACTTCTAATGGTATTTAGAAGATGGCTACACATCACTATTAAATGTATTGGAATTGATATTTTTGTTGTTGTTCTTTGTTCAGGCACCAGAATTTCCTGAGTTTACAGCTAAAGTTCAAGAAGCAATAAGTTCCTTGGGTGGTAGTGTTTTTCCTAAACTTAACTGGAGTGCTCCAAGGGTAAGAATGCTGACTCCCAAACCTTGTAACAGATGTTAACATAAGGATTTTTTTGTTTGTTTGTTTTATCTTAATGCATTGGAAAGTAGAAGAGACTAGTGGTTCAGATAAAGGAAGGAGCGATAAGATATCAGTGAAGTATGATACCGCACATTGTTCTGGTGGATTAGAGCTAGATGGTGCACTGTTTGGTGAGGCTGATGCAAGACAGCGCTGTCTTTCTTACGTAAAACCCTGTATCCTTGTCACAGATAACAGTATGATGGTCAGACTCTTCTCATTTAGGATACTAATTGAAAACTTTGCCTGGGATAAAGATTAAAACCCCCACATTTTTTAAAAAAGCAATAAACTTTTCTCTAGTTATTTTTAGGTACTCTAACTATACCTTAAGGATGGGTGCACCTAAATGTTTTTGTATCATATTCTCAAGGGAAACTTGTGTTCAATCAAGCCTTCCCAGAAAGTGCCTGGAAGCAGTAAGGCAAAAACGTATTTTTTTTTAAAATGGATTTGCGCTGCTTTCAACAGAGTATTCCTCAGAAAAGCAATAATTATTGTGTCTCTTCTAAGAGCTAATGAAGCTTTCCTCACATGCAGAAAATGACTTTTTTTATTTTATTTCAAATGTTGCATTATACTTAGTGCTGATAGATCTGCAGCTTGCCTTTCTTCCTGCTAGTAAAGGTGCATTTTTGGATAATCTTTTTTGTTTAGGATGCCTACTGGATAGCAATGAACAGCTCTCTGAAATGTAAAGCTCTCAGTGACATCTTCCTCCTCTTCAAGAGTTCAGACTTCATAACTCGTGACCTCACTCAACCGTAAGTAGATTTCTAGGAGACAGTCTTATTTATACCCAGTCAAAAAAACCCCAACCCTCTGAGGGTAGCTTTTCAGTTCTTTTGAAAGATCTTACTCTTTACTGTACAGTAATGATAAATATCTGATATGAAAATACATATTCATGTTTAAAAGTGGTTCAGGTACAGTAACATAAGCTTCAGGTACAGTAATAAGTTAGTTGTTCTTTGAAGCTCCCTTGACCCCTTCCTTCCTTCTTCTTTGTCTCCCTCCACCGTGCAAAAATAAATGCCAGGTCCAATTTAGTGCAGAGAATTGCGAGGCAAATTATCTTCTGTTCCTTACCGTGAGTGAGCCTTTCCTAGTAAACCAGAATTGTTCACCTCATTTCAGTTGACAAGAGAGGAGCAGCCTCCATTTTAGTTTTATATTAATTATCTTGATTTTAATATGCAAATGAGCGAAAAGCAAAACAGGAAGACATTATATTAAAGTAGTACATGTGAAATGACACTAAGGACTAAGACCATTTTTATTGAGTTGCTTTCCAGAGCAAGTGATGTTTTAATCTTGGGGTTTCTTTTTGCCTTCCCACTCCTGTTGGCATTTACTTGTTGCTACCTACCTTATTGTTGCCACTTCTCATAGTAATACAGCATGATTTTACCATGTTGCTTTCAAATTTTAAAGCTGTTCAAGCTTGCGTGGCTGCCTGGAAGATGCCTGAGACTTCTGCTAACGTATTCGTAGAGCTCCTTCTGAACCTAAGTTCTTGTAGCTCTTGAACAAATGCACTCCAGGAACTGTGACTAGGGATAATAGTTACAGATAAAATTACAGATATGATGTGCTTGGGGTTTATTTTGTCTGCTCACATGAAGAGTGTACTTAATTGTATAGGAACAGTTTCCTTCTGTAGTACCTGCATCTGATTCATGTCACTCATTTCTTAAATGCAGTCTTTTTCTGAAAGAAAATAAAATTATTGGAATTTAATGTTCTTGTTACTATTATTACTATTATTTTTTTCAGAAAAGCAGAATTTCAAAGAAAAAGGGCAATTTATGTCTTGGAATCCGAGAGATTCCTTTCCAGTAATTATTCAATGTTTATTACTGCAGTATTTAGGAGACTCAATCAGATGCAGGGCACTTGTTCTAGGTGCTTTATAGAGGGTTACCAAGCATAATAGTCCCGTGTTAAGTGGCTTATGACCCGGTAAGAATTGTATTGTCTAAAATGTGAAACCAGTTGTATTAATGCTGTGCAACTGCCTTCTTTTTTTATTCCTGCAACTCTAATAACAGTCTTGTCCCCCAGTTTGTTGGTACATTAAAAAAATGATAGGTAGCAACATCCTCATCCTTATCTCTGCATTTATGGAGTGTTAGCAATGCTATCAGTCCAATTCTGATGCTAGGTTTTACATTATGCCTAAGGTACAACATTATGAGGTGCAGGGGAAGAGAATGAGAAGGAGGGGAGAAGATGTTGGAGTGAGAAGACAGTTTGAAAAGTATGTTGGACTAGGGAAACAATTGTGAGTGTTGAATTCATGATTCTGGGTTCATAGAGAATGGAAGGGATAGGGGAGATGAGAAATCTATAGTTTACATTTCAGAGGTGAGTGAATAGTGATTCTCAGAAGACTTTGGTGCCTTACCAAAGAGCTTTTTTTCATGGTTTCCCCTAATGGGAGGCTAGGTGACTTGGCCAGGTGTCTTGAGGATGGTTTGCTCAGAGGGTTGAGCACTGAAATTTAATGTGTCCTTTGTTGTAACTGCTTTCAGGACTGAGTCTTCTGGGTCTGAAAAGAACTGTACACTTTGTATCATCCCTTTGTGAATATTAAATAGTACAGTTTTTGTATTCTACTATCCTCATGTATAAAGAGGTTCAGCAAAAAGTACCCTGAGCTCCTTGGAGAATTCCTGTTTAGTTTACCACTTTCTAATGAGGGACACAATCAAGTGTTTAGCAAGCACCACTTGATTTAGAAGATGTGGCAACTCTGTGTGTGTTTGTGCTCTAAGTTTATGCCATTTGTATGGTAGAATGAGTTGGTTTGACTACCTTCACTGAGACTGAAATCAGTGCGTTTTCTGCCAGGTTTTATCTCATATCAGGTAAAGTTAGTGCCTCAGCTATTCACCTTGCTCTTTGCAGACAGTGCTGACTTAGTGGTAGAGGCAATGAATGCATTCTAGCTCCAATGTTGTGAGATTTCACAGCATGGGTGTTAACTTGAACCATCAGTAATTTCACCTTAAGTTCACACCAGACTAAGAACGGTAGTGGCTGAGCAGCCTGTAGCAGGCACGCTCTCTTCTACTGATCCTGCTGTGGGAGAAAAACCTCTAGCAGAAAGACAACACCTCAAATTGCAGTAGTCCAATCCATTTAGACTCTTTTCCAGTGTGATAAGACTGCACGCACTGCCAGATAGCACAGCTCAGCTAGTGGGTGGTAAATAAGCAGACCTTGTGACATGATTGTGGGATCGTCACCTAATCTAAAGGTCAAGTTTCCTTTGAGAAGTGTTGTATTTATTTCCTTTCCTATAAAGTCTAATCTAATGTTGGTATAAATTTGGGGTATGGTTGGGGGTTTTTTTTGGGTTTTTTTTGTCAGAACAGGCTTTGTTGTTTTGGTAAGGTAGAGTTAATATGGGCAGTGCAGCCTTGCGGCTTCCATGAATTTGAATGGAAGTTGTACTTAGGACTAGGGGGACGTGTGTTATGTGTGAAATCACTTTGGTCTCTATGTATCTTATATTTTATGAATATGTTGTACTTATTAATTAATTAAAGCACATTATTGTGCAGTCTGTGCATGGTATTTCTAAATTGCTAAGTTACTTGTACAGTGTCCCCACCCAAACAGTGAAATGATTATTGCTGAATCAGAACAGTGGTCTTCCTTAATTACACTATTGATTAGCTGCCAGTTCCCTAGTCCTTAGCAAGCAGAAATTAAAAATGTAGCTGGCATAAGAACCTGAAGTGCTGAACAAATGAAAATTGGATACATAATGCATCCAAATCCCTTGGAAGGGCTACTCAGAGAGAGGATAAAGGCACTATATTTCTACTTCTTTCATTAATACTCAGTATGGTCTAAAAGTTTCTTGCCCTGCATAAGTAACAGCTGACATGTTGTATACCCTTTTTGTTTTGTTTTGTTTCCTGTTCAATTGTATTAACTTAAAAATCCACTTCGTGGGTCATAATATGGAAAAGACTTTGCAATGGCAATTTGAAGATCTGTTTCTTAATCCAGCTTTGCCAGTGATGTGGGACTTAAGGCAAACCACTTTCTTTGCCTCTTCCTTCCTCTCCCATTTCCTATCTGCTTATCTGGTATTGATCTATACGTTGTTCAGGTCAGGGAACTGCCCTTGCTGTAATTCTCAACTGTCTCAAGTTCAGAGAAAACTTATGCAGTACTTCAATACAAACCATTAAAAAAATACGGCCTTAATGCAAATATACTGAGCATGACTAGATAAGCTTTGACTATTTTAAATGTTTGAATTCTCTCATGATGTTGACACTTTGTTTGGTTGAAAAGTTCAGAATAATGAGTTAACTTTCCTTCTTGTTAATTTTGTATAAATTAACAGACTTCAGAGCGATGCAGTCGTTAATGTAGTCGATGTTGTTTCTGCTTCAAAGTAAGCATTGTATTTTACTTAGCTGAGTTCACAAAAAACTTTGTGGGTGGTGTGATCCTTAACTTTTCAGGTGTTAATGTAGGCTTTCAAAAAGTTAGTGTTGCCTGTATGCGATAAAGGGATTTTTTTTTTTTTCTAATTGGGATTTGTGTTAAGTGATTAAAACTCCTCTTTTGAACAAAAATCCTTTTAAAGCCCTGTTGAGTGTATTGGTTTAGAACACAGTTTTCCTCCTTATTGTCAGAATGTGTGAACTACATTTTGTTAAGACATGATTGCCCACCTTGAGACTGGTATAAATATTAGTGATAGTTCTAATGATATGATAATGCCCTTTAAATTATAAGATAAGCTTGTTGTTACATCATGCTTGTTAATAAACCTTGGAAATTTTGTCAAACTTCGGAGATTGTTCCTGTTCTACAGGACAATACTGAATGTTTTAAATCTGCAGACGCTACTATTGGGATTTTGAACGCTAAACTGTTCTTATTTTCTGGTTGTTTAATAATCACAACCATAGAGCTGAAATAAGAAGTCCTGTAAGTTCAACCTTCTTGAAAAGCAACCTAATGCAGAGAACATCTTTTGTAGGGATTGCCCTTGGATTTATTATAGAGAGGCAGTATGAATCACGTGCAAGAATGGCTCTTTTCTGATGTGCACTTAAGTGTTGTAAATTGACTCTCAGTATTTTATTGGACCAGCTGGTGCTATGGACCTGTTCCTTCCAGAAGTTAATTCCTGAAAACTTTTTGAGAAGCTGGTTAGACAGGTGGAGTAAAGAGTCTAAAAGTAGCCACTCAACCCTGCCTAAGCCCAGGAAACAGAGTGAGGGGACCATCTATGCCACATTTCGTAGGTAAGAAATATCTGCCAGGTTAACGGAGCAGGTGAAACAACTCCCACTGGGCCAAGGAGAAGTTTCCAAATGTATTAAGGTGCAAGATACAAAGGAACATGAAGGGCGATGCAATTTTTTTTTATTTAGGTATTTATAAGAGGGCTTGGTTAAAATTTAAGTGCCTGTTTCTGAGAACAATTGAGAAAGTCTGCTCTTGAGTGAGGTTTAGCCCATCAGGCTCCTAAGCACATTGTTTAACTTTTAAAACCCAGCAGATGTTTCAATCCTTTTTGTTTTTAAGCTAGCATTCTGACTACATTTTTGATACCAGACTTAATGCTTCTAAATGTTGAATTACAAATTGTAAAGAAATTATAAAGTTTTTATGAGATGTGGAGTAATAACAGCCTGTGTTCTCCTAACAGAACATAGGAGGCAGTGTTGGTTCATAAAGATGTGACTTGGCACTCAGGATACCTTTCTGCGAGAACGATAGCTGTTGGTTTAGACTTTAGTATAACCTATTTCGAGGTAGACAGTTCCACATGAGAGAATGTGGAAAATGAGGCCTTTGATGATTTTTTTTTTTTCTTGAGGTTTTACTCACATCCCGTTTTTCCTAGCAATTTACAGTGTAGTACAAGATTCTCTTCTGAATGGTGCATGAACTTCCTATTTATTTTAGTCCTTAAAGTTTCAGCAAGGTTCAATATTCAAGAAATAAAGATGCAGTTCAAAGGCAGAAGTTTCTCCTTGATTTTTTTTTTTTTAATTAAGGTTTTAAAATAAACTATGAGATGATAGCAGGGCAACTGTCAGGTACAGAATAACTTTTACAATTCTCATTATTTTCATAGTAGTTTATTATCCACAGAATAATCTCAGTGATTTGCAAATGAGTTCATGGCTCTCTTAGCAGGATAGGTACTGGAGGTCTTACAAATCTTCTTAAGTTGCTTTTCTCAGTGTTGTAAACTGAACCGCATAATGGCTTCATGTAGCGTGTCCTGTTGTCAAGTATATGCATTTGGAGGTTAACGTACAGCTGCTACATATAAAGAGGCCTTGATCCTGCTGTTCTTGACATCTAAGTATAAATCGGTAAGCAAGCTGTTGGCCACAGCACGAGGCCTATAAGCAGTAGAGTTTAATTCCTTCACCCTTAGTAGTATTCAAAATGACAATTTTCAAAGGCTTCAGAAAAGAGGGCCCAGGTACCTCTCAATTTTGGGTTCCTGAAGTCTTTCTGGTTGTTCTTTCAAGTACCTCCAAACCTGAATAGGATGTGGGTTAAAGAAACCCCGCTTAGCCTTCTGCCTCTTATGATCAAAAGGCCATATGTAATAGATGAATTCAGCTGGGTCTGAACAATTAATGCTACAATAAGTTGGTAACAAATATAAAATTGCAACTACTTCAAATTGCCCAAAATTTACCCCGCAAAAAGGGGTGGGAGTAATGTCCTTTTGTTGACAAAAACTCATGATACTATTTAGAAGGAAAATGAGACTACAAAAACCTGAGTTTATTTTGTCTTTCACTGCATTCTCCCATTTTTTCCTCATGTGTACTCAGTCCTGTGTCATTAAGGCTTAAGAAAAATAACATTAACTGCGCCTTGCAGTATTTTTGTCTTTATTCATCGTTTTGCCTGTTTGCTTGATTTGGCGGCAATACCTGAGCAGTCTGTGTGGCTTGGGACGGCACCCAAGGGTTTCATTTTCAGACTCACCAGGAAAGAGGAAGTATCTTTCCTCACATAGCTCTCACCCAAAATACTTGAGGGTTGAGCAGGGGATAAGTTTGATTGTTCATAAGGCTGTTTTTTGACTGCTGGAAAAGACTGCATGTTATTGGAATGAAGCAGATCACAGGTATACTGATCTCAGATATGGAAGTTTGAGAGAGGTAATACAGGTCCTAGTGTGCAGGGACTGTAAAATTCCATGTGCTGGACTTCAGCTGCCTTTTTATATACAGTTTATGATTGGTTTTGTGGGGGGGGATATTTTCTTGAGCATGGTAGGCACATATGCTAGTAAGGGAGGAATTTTTGAGTCTAGCAAAACTGCAAGCTCTCATGACTTTGTTTCTATTGCCTTGACAGATCTTAAATTGTGGGGAATATAAACTGTAGAATATAAACTGTAGTTGAAGGATGGTATCTGTTTACATAGGCTTACAGATATATATGATCTGTTTTATTACAGTACTTTTGGAAAGCATGCCTGCTATCGCCCTTCTTTTCTGCATGTAGTGGATATTAAAGTCTAAACTAAAACGTGTGAAATTTATTTCTGCTGCTTGCATACTGAATGAACTCTTGCAATAGCTCTTCATTTCAAACCGAAGGCTGGGCAGCCATGTCTTACAAACGCAATGCTTATATTAGAGATGTTAGACTTTTGGATTGCTTAACTAAGTTCAGAGCCAAAGGGAGATAGTATAAATGTTGCCATTTAAGACTATTGCTCAGCAGTGATCCTTTACACAGTTCTTCTGTACATCAAAGTAGTTTGTTGCCAATAAGGTCAAGGGAGTATACTTGGAAGGAAAATGCATGTTCTTTTGCTAATTCCCTTTGAAAGTTACAGGATTTATTGCAAGGTTTGCTGTAAAACGACAAAAAGGTACATAGAAGTTGGCTTGGGTATAACTGCCTCCTTTCTTGATAGTTCCTGAAAGGTGGCACACAGACTCAGCTACTCACAAGGGACAAAACCTTGACATCTGCTTGCAGTTATGGAAATAGTTTTGTTTATTTCCACTCTCAAGAGATTTGTAAGAGTATTTCTTAAGGCTCTTAATTTAGAAAGATACCATGCTGTGGAATCAGAAGTGCTGAGTGGCACTGTTTTGCATCCCTTATTCATGGAAATGAACTGCTGTAAGGCATGATGATGTGTCTCTGTTGTGTGGTTTAGGAAGTTAAATGTTAAAAGTACTAGGGAAAACATGCTGCAATGAAACTAGATTAGATTGCTCAAGTTTATCTGGTTCTTTGAGAATCCAGTTATGGCAACATAACAATCAAGAGGAAAGGAGCAGCACTGTTGATTCAAACAAAAAGACTCAACAATGAATAAGCACTCACATTTTAGCCACGTCACTGTCCAAATTTAAGTGCTTCCAAATTACACTAGATGAAAAGAGGAGAATTTTTTTTTCCTTTTTTTCCCCCCTGATAATTCATAGAATCATAGAATGGTTTGGGTTGTAAGGGACCTCTAAAGGTCATCTAGTCCAACCCCCCTGCCGTGGGCAGGGACATCTTCAACTAGACCAGGTTGCTCAGAGCCCCGTCCAACCTGACCTGGAACGTTTCCAGGCATG